TGATGCTTTTGAACTGTGGTGTTGGAGAAGACTCTTGAGAGTCCCTTGGACTGCAAGGAGATCCAACCAGTCCATCCTAAAGGAGATCAGTCCTGGGTGTTCATTGGAAGGACTGATGTTGAAGCTGAAACTCCAATCCTTTGGCCACCTGATGCGAAAAACTGACTCATTTGAGAAGACCCTGATGCTGGGAAAGATTGAGGGCAGGAGAAGGGGATGACAGAGGATGAGATGGTTGGATGGCATCACCAACTTAATGGACATGGGTCTGGGTAAACTCCAGGAGTTGGTGACGGACAGGAAGGCCTGGCGTGCTGTGGTTCATGGGGCCGCCAAGAGTTGGACACAACTGAGCGACTGAACTGACTGACTCTAACAAATTAACCTACTAGCATTTTATACATGGATTGATACCAATGAGCTCACTTCCTGAGCCTTTTTCATAGCTGATCATATACTGTGTGGGATATATTAACTCTACAGCTTGCTGGAGGATGACAGAGCACACCACTAATTTTTTCATTCACTGTTTATTCTAAGCATTTTGTGACACTGCAATATCTGTGAGCCAGTTAAAATTCTTGCATTATACTATTTACCATATTATCTAGTTTTAACTAACATAACTATCACAAAATAAAGCAGCTTAAAACACCAGAAACTACTCCTTAAAACAAAATTTAAAAATAATACCAGTAATGCAGGTTCAAATCAACAAAATTTATCAGTGTCTATACCTCTAGTCTTTTGTCATTAAGGCTCATTAAGAATTAAAAATGGTAATTTTACCATATCTGATGCTATTTCTATATTAAAATTACATATATTATATACAATAAAATTACACATCACAATTGTAATCATTAAACTTTATGCATTATTATAGTAGTAGTATGTTTATGGGGGCAGAGTTCAAACTTTTTAAAAGGGTGTACAGCCAAAAAAGTTTGGTTATCATTGTCCAAGACAACCATATTTCATTTTACAGTACTCTGTGGATCTGTAATTTATAACTGCAACTAAACTTTTTTATTCTACTTAAAAATTAGCTAGAACAAAGCTTTTCAATGCAGTGAATATTACATATTCCTAGTTTAAAATGCATTTTAAAATTCCTAGTTTAAATTTAAACTAAATTTATGCATTTAAATGCATTTAAATTCCTAGTTTAAAATTATATTGCATGCTTTGGTTTTCTACAAAGAGTAAACCAAGATCCTTTCTTAACTAAATTACTTTTTTGTCCAGTAGGTCAAACCTTTTATGGAAAGGTCTTCCTCTCTCCTCCATCCCAATCCTGTGTCACTTTCTTAAGAGCAACCATCTCTGTAATGTCTACCAGGTAAAATGCTGTTATTTCCTGGTAAGCCAGGGAACAAAAAGAGTATGAATCATGAAGTTTCCTCCTCACATGGCTTCAAACTGAATATGAGCAACTCCAGAGTAAAAAGGCCTTTACTGTTTCCGTCAAATCTTGCACTTCCATCTCTAGATCATTCTAGCTGTTTTTCTCTTAGCGTGCCACAGTTTTTTCATAATCAGAATGGCACAAATGTTGTTTAGTTGCTAAGTTGTGACTGACTCTTTTGTGACCCCTATGGAATGAAGCCCACCAGGCTCCTTTGTCCATGGGATTTCCTAGGCAAGAATACGGGAGTGGGATGCCATTTCCTTCTCCAGCGGATCTTCCTGACCCAGGGATTGAACACATGTCTCCTGCATTGGCAGGCGGATTCTTTACCACTGAGCCACCAGGGAAACACTAACGGCACAAAACACTAAAGGTAAAAAGCATAATGACTGAGTCATTTTTAGCATGTGAATATACCTCATTGAACAATTTGATACTGAAGAATAGGTTGAATTATATACATGGATATTCAAATAAGCACTTAACATTTTCATTTACACAATATACTATGACTTAAGTACATTTAGGAAGTCTACTGAAACTTAACTATTTCTCTAAACATATTGAAGAGAAAAGCAAATCACTAAAGTGTTTTTAAAAGCTCAATTTTATGCAATTTTGAGTTAGTTATTAATCCCGACCTATACACAATATGAAATCATATCTATTGAAAGTATAGTAAAATGTTTCCATTCACTTGATAAGGCAAACTAGTCTACTAATCCTTAATTTCAGGCCATATCCAAATTCTAACTGTTCAAAACAAAAAGGAAAGAACAAAACCATCTCTAAACTAATTATAATCTCACACACACACACACTAACCCAGAAATGGGAAACTGTTTTCATCTTTTCTAAGGGTTGTTTAAAATTCAACCCAAGAATGGAGGAGCTTTTCACTGAAATATTTTATGTTTAGCAGCTCTTTCAATTAAAGCTATGGCATAAATATCACTTAAGCATTTGTTGTTATTGTATGGTAGGCATACTTCTAAAATGGATTCTCCCTCTCTAGTGTACACACCTTGTATCATCCATGCCTCTAGAGTGTGTGTGGAATTTGTATATGGGAATATGATGCTACCTTACATGGCACAGAAGATTTTGCATGTATAATTAAGGTTGGCTTTGAGTTAATCAAGAGAAATCATCCCAGTGGATCTGAGCTGCTAACAAAAGGCCTCTAAATCTGGGTCTGAAGGTCAGAGACAAAGGAAGTTGAAGAGATTAAAAACAGCAGAGAGGAATTCTGCTGGTCTTGCAGGAGTAAACTGCCGTTGTGTCAAAGGCTCCACAGCAGGGAGCTCAGAAGTTGACTGAGCTGACTGTAGAGTTTCTCCATCTTCAGCTGCAAAGAATATAATCAATCTGATTCTGGTATTGACTATCTGGTGATGTCCATGTGTAGAATCGTCTCTTGTGTTATTCGAAGAGAGTGCTTTCTATGACCCGTGTGTTCTCCCGGCAAAACAGTTAGCCTCTGCCCTGCTTCATTTTGTACTCCACGGCCAAATTTGTCGGTTACTTCAGGTACCTCTTGACTTCCTACTTTTGCATTCCAGTCCCGTATGAAAAGGACATCTTTTTTTGGGTGTCAGTTCTAGGAGGTCTTGGAGATCACAGAATTGCTCAACTTCAGCTTCTCTGGCATTACTGGTTGGGGCACAGACTTGGATTACTATGATGTTGAATAGTTTGCCTTGGAAATGAACTGAGATCATTCTGTTGTTTTTGAGATTGCACCCAAGTACTGCACTTTGGACTCTCCTGTTGACTATGAAGGCTACTCCATGCCTTCTAAGGGAGGAAGTTGACAGCCAGCAAGAAAACAGGAACCTCCACCTGTAACTATCCCAATGAGTCTCAGATGGGACCACAGATCTCACTGATACCTTAACTTTAGAAATGTGATTCTGAGCAGAGAACCCAGCTGGTCTGTGCCCAGACTTCTGACCTACAGAATTGTGAGTAAATAAATAGGTGTTGTTTTAAGCTGTAAATTTTGTAATTTGCTATGCAGCAATAAAAACTATAAAATATATCTCTTATGGAAAGAAAGTGAAGATGAAGTAAGAAAAAAAAAAACTGATGGGAAAGGCCTTTGAGGCTTTCATGCTGTATACTCCAGTGACTTCCACATTGGGTATTTCAAGATAATTCTCAAAGTATCCAAGGAAAATATTAAAGCTTCTAGATGTGTATTTCTCATCTTTAAAAATTACCCTTTGGGGGTATATTTAATAATATATACAATGTTAACACAAGCAAATAATTTATAAATGTTCATATATTTAGAGATGCTGGTTAACATAATTTAGAAAACACTGTTCTAATCACTATGCAAGAAGACATGTACCCCTCAAGAGATGTCCTACCCCACCTGACTGCTGCCACCCATTCTATAATAAAGTTTCTTGTTTAGTCGCTAAGTTGTGTTCTCTTCTGTGACCCCACTGACTCTAGCCCGCCAGGCTCCTCTGTCCATGGGATTTCCCAGGCAAGGATACCGGCGTGGGCTGCCACTTCCTTCTCCAGGGAATCTTCCCGGCCCAGGGGTCAAACCCACGTCTCCTGCACTGGCAGGTAGATTCTTTATGACTGAGCCACCAAGGAAGCCCATACGGGAAGCTACAAAATACCAAATTGGGAAACTCGAGAAATTTTCCTATTTCCAATCTTTACTGCAATGTGTCACGTTTATCATGTTCCATGCTTAGGCATTTAAACTTCTGAAATGCTAGACATGCCATAAAGACATCATTTTTAAGGGTTTTTCCTGAGATGGTATTGTGGAGTATGTGAACTGGTAAGCAATTCTGCACCCTGTGTTTTTGTTCACCAAATTTATTGTTGAACATTCAGAACATCAAATTATGACAGATTAAAAAGAAAGCACCAAATAATGCTACACATTAATACCTGAGCGGAGACTGAAGGCAAATGTTCATCTATTAAACCCTACACCATAATGTTGAAACACAGATAAAAACATTCACAACACTCTAAGGAGTACAATAAATAGCACTTTTTGTGAATTACAACTAGTTAAATGTAATAATGTTAATTACACCATACAAAAAGTACACACAAAATTACACACAAATGTATTTAGTATACCATACATTGTACAAAGTACTGGAGAAGGTCATGCATGTTTAAAAGGAAAAATCTGCAAGATGACAATCATTTTTCAGTATATAAGATGACCTGTTTTGCACTGCTAAGTATTATTATGTGCTGCATTTTCTGAATGAGAATAAAATTATTGATTTGCAAATTAGTGATTACTGAGTCTATCTCAGTATAACACATAGTTTGTCCTCTATAAACTTTTAACTATAATACAGAAACTGATGCAGGTTGACATGATAGCCATGTATCTTGCTGTATTACATACCCTTGCCCAAACTATTTCCATCTCAATTTGACCATGCTTTAAGGAAAGACTTTTTTTTCTAAACACTTTCAGAGAAACCTATATTTTTGTCTTTGATGGGAGGTAGTGGAGGTTAAATGAGAAGAAAGAAAAATGCTGAGTTTATATTCAAAATTATAAATAAAAAATATACAAAAAATTCTGAGATATGGGCATCTTTTAGCAGAGACCATGAGCGTCCTATAAATGGAACAATTTGCTTTGACTGAAATTATATCCATTATTCTAAATAAGCATAATGAAAATGTAAGTCTTTACATTAAAAGAAAATCCATATAAAACTGGGGCCAGTTTTCTCTTGGTATCTTAAAAATAATTAGGAAGAAAAAAGTAAAAGGGAAAATAATGTTTAAATATATATATGAATTTGAGTTTATATTTAATGAAAAATCATTATTGGCTAAACTAACTTTGATATACAAGGCTCAATAATCTGAGGGAAAAAAAAAAGTACATGTCTTAAAGAATTCATGTCTTTGATAGATTATTAATTAAAAAGACAAAAAATACATTTTTAGGTTATGTTTTCATGTGTATTATTCTCAGAAATGCCACCATCTTTTCCTAAAATAAATTTATTTTCAAAAACTGTAGCCAAACTTAGTTTTCTACATCTATGAAATTTAAGTTAATTTTAATTTGAAATGGGAACTATGGAGATTAAGAGAGGCCTGTGGAGCAATAGTTCAGCTTATACTAAGGGAAATACTGATTAACTGTTATTTAAAGTTTTTACTTCACCAGCCTCAAAGAAAAGGATTTGGGGCCAATTTGAGAAGACCACCAATAATAAAATATACAATTATAAAACTTCAGGGCATTCTGTCAGCATTTTAAGGCACGGTCTGCTTTATCCCAAACAACTATAAGTTCAAGGTCACAGTGTTAATATGCATTCAATTTTGGTCTGGTTTTTCACGGGTATGTTGCTACATTTATAGTTAGCCATAAGCTTAAGAAATGGTAATACAATCACTTCAAAACAATATATCTAAATCATTTTTATATTTTTTAAAATGTAAATACACATCTATATACACTAAAAACTGGATTTTTCTCTTTCTACAGTAGAGGCAAAGAAGATTATTTGTACCAATATTCCAATAAATACATATCTGATTATAAAGAAAACATGGTTATGTTAAATACAGGCATCTCCTATTTAGGATAAAACTACTCAATACAAAGGACAAACTCATTCCAAAAATAATGTTCACTGAATTTTTAGATCTTATACATCATCTTTTTATTATCATCTACCCCCACCAGATAATTGGATAATCAAGGCCAAACATTTGAATATTTGGCTTTATCTGTTGCTTCCTTACTTCCAAGGGTACTTATGCAAACTGCATCAACATGCCTGGGCAGAGAAACAGTTAACTGACATTAAATTATGGGGAAAACTGTGATATGAGGGACTGAAATTCCCTGTGAAAATTTCTACAGGAGAGGAATTAAAGAATTTCAACCATATAAACACAACAGTTTCTGAATCTATCCTATTCCGGCTTTTCTCTCATGAGTACACTCCCACATCAATGTTAACACTTCAGCATGAACATCTTGATTGTCTTTATATTTTCCTTTAAGATGCATTTTACAATGCTTACTTCATTGTACTATGTTGCGTTCCAGTGAATAAATTTCCCCTGTGTGACTGTATAAAGGGAATGAATGGAAAAACATAGAAAATAAAAGAAATTCCACGAAAAACTTTCCATTACATAAATGAGAGACACCTGTACTAAAAATGATCAGGGCAATAGAATTTAAAGTTTTACAGAATGAATCTGAAACAAGATTACCTAAATGATTTCTTCAACCAATTACTGAAAGATCATTATCAGGTAAACTAATTTTCATCCAATAAAACCAGAAAACACTATTTCAGAAATCAGACAGAATACACTATGCTATAAGCTTTATATATTTTCAAAGAAAAATCAGGATACAGAATATAAATTTTGATGATTTGCGTATTTAATATAAGTCCTAGAAGAAAAATACTGAAAAGATTATTTTTGCTTTAATCCCAATGTGGTAAGAAAGTAAGAAAAGTTCATTGGCACAGATATCTGGAGGTATTTTAAAATTTCATTTAGCTTTGGTGGCAAAGTGTGTTTTGCTAACCATATGAATACAGTTCCTTTTTCAATGCAGAGCTTTATGCTAAAAAAAATTCAAATGTGTTTTTTTCCCCTAAAAAAAGGGATGTAAAAAGTCCAATATGAAATAAAACAAGTACAACATGAAATACAAAACATGCCTATCATTTAGGCTTTTGAACAATAGTTCTATGCTTTGTCTATAAATCTTTTACTAGTAACATTTCTACTATATAAATACTAAAAACCAAAATAACACTAAAAAAATTAGCATATGAACTTTACAAAAATGGCTACCTCTAGAGTTCTTAAACTAGGATTAGGGTTCACATATGCAAACAAATTTGCACTAACTAATCAAACTACATCAACAAATACAGTTTTTCAGAAGTGTTCCAAGTTACAATGTACAGAATGAGCACAGAATAAATCTGACTCAAATATATCAAGTTCCATACAAAGTCATTAGAAATTAACTGGTTACTTGGTATTTCAAAACAGTCATTTTTGGCAGCATGACATGCGAAACACTTTTAGAAAGTATTGCACTTGATTTAAAAAATTTCAGCTAGAGACAATGTAATCAAGATGTATCAATAGCTTAGAATATCATCTAACTTTTAAACTGATGTTACTAATTCAGGTGTATTGCTACATTTCTACTATAAATGAAATAACAGTTTATTCTATTTCCAAATTTTGTTCCCTTCTTCAGACTAAGTTACTAATATATAAAATTCAGTCATCTGTAATCATAATATAATTTATAAAAAATGTGAATTCTTGAGCATTTAGAGTACACATACTCAGATTTGGATTACTGATTTGACTTTTCTTTCCTATTATTCTTATTAAAAGTAAAGAACATAAGTAGCCTTACAAGTTTTCTATTTCCTCAGGCTGTTAAAATATACTGTGAAAGAATGCGTGAGTAATAACGTATTAAGCAAAAGTTCATTACAGAACTTGAAATGTCCTTTGTTCAAAAAGACTGGGATAAAATTTCAGCTACTAATCATCTTAGCATTTTGTAAAAGTATCTTTCTTCTACATTTATCTTACATGACAAGAAGTTTTCTGTCTGAGTCTAATTTCATAACACAAAGACTTTTATTGCTTCTTTTATTCCTGGGGAGTGCTATACTCTTCAAATTGACCCCCCCAAAAAAACTTCACAAGGTTATCTTTTTTCCTATAATTTCATAAATCTAAAACACAGAGAAAACACAAAGTGATGATAAAAAATAATCAACAAATACCTTAAGTCACAGAAGTCCCTACACACTAAAAAAATTCTTCCCAACTAGTTTTAATAACAAGTTACTAAAAAATTGCAAATGTGGCACTGTAAGGTTTTGCTCTAAACCTCACAATAGAGCAAGATATTACATTAATTTACACCTAATTCTTAAGATGAAAATACAGGCCAATTGAATGGTCTGGGATTCAGGAAGCAACAGTTCTAGCTTACCCCATCATCTCTGTGTTTTCCTATTTCTCCAGAGCTTTCAAGAATTAACTGAAAACTGAGTTTTACCTTTAGTTGTTTTATTTCCCTTGACCACCTTCTGTAAGAGATGCTAATCAACAATGAGGTGAAAAGAATACACTATGCTGTAAGTGAAAAATCTGAAGAGTTAAGAATGGGAACTAGATAGATAATGAACAAATCAGATAATCTGTCTCATGAAAGTATGTGTATGTGGTGAAAATGTGGAGCATCTGCATGAGTGGCAGGATAATCAACAAAAAACATTTACTAGGCCTATTGTAGTTCTTTATTTCTTTTCCTTACTGTATAATCATGCAGATATTACAGTGTAGCTCAAATGAGAAGTACTCCATTATATACCTAGGAACTTATCTGACTGAAATATAAAAAAAATTTTTAAAAATTAAAGATTAATCAATACATGTTCAATATATACTGAAGAGACACAAGTCAGTGTTAATCAGGCACAAATGGTTTTTTTTTTTAGGACTAGTGTTTTAAATACTTTCATTCTGGTGAGAATCAAGAAAAGAGCTAGCAGAAATGGTGTAATTTCCAACATGAAAAAGATAAAGAAAAAAGTGTTAATAATTTCTATCATATTATCTGTTCCAAATTATAATAGCAGTAACTCCAGAGGAGTCTTTATAAACACTGAAAATACTCAGTGTTTGTCCTGTCCAGGCTATATCTGATCTAGGTATCAACAATAGGGTCTAGGAGTAATTTTTATAAGTTAAAAACTCAAAAAAATCTAAATAAAGATGTTGAAACAACAAAGCTCAGAAGTTTTCTAAACGAGACAATCCCTAACTGCCAATGAAGTTTCATTTTTAGTAACATTTCTGATAAACCTGTGCTGTTTTGCCAGCTAATAATATACGTCTCAGGTATGACTGGAAGAATGTGTAATTTAAAAACAAAGGACTTTCCTTTTCTCAAGCGATAGAAGCATTAGTTTTACTAATCTTCAGAAAGAGCCTACCTTCTCATGGGTTTAAATTAGGACTTGATGAAGACCCTGTGAAAATGAGAGAGAGAGAGAGAGAGAGAGAGAGAGTGTGTGTGTGTGTGTGTATTATGCATAAGAACCCAAACTACTGTTGTTTATACATGCTTAATTAGAATCCTTTCTGTGGTCCTCAAATGAAATATTTTGTTGGAATAGGACTTTAGGACTACATGGTAACTACACTCACGTGAAAATATTTTCATGAAAATTAGTGTGCCCAGTCTGCTGCTTTAAAAGCTAACACACTACCCACAAATGAGAAATTTAAGCTTGTTACATTTTACCGATGCACAGCAATGACTAAACAAGGAGAGTTTAGATCACATAAACACAATCATTATAGCTGTCAATTGTGATGAAAGTACAGGCCAAATTAGAAGATTTTAATTAATGAATTTGCTTAGGTTCTGTATATGGAACTAAGTTCAGATTTAGAAATATTTAAATGACATATTTAACCGGTAACTTGAAATACAACTACACCTGAGTGAAAAAACAAAAGACATCTTATGTGCAAAAGTTGTTACAAGCATGTGTATAGCTAAACCTAGGCATATGCATCCTTGTTTAAATATGTATGTGACATGTCATGGGAAAGTGTACTCTTTCCTTTCAGGTTTGAACACACAAGCATCTTGTATTTTAATCCCTTTTGCTACTTTTAGCAAACAAACAAGAGCCTGGTATGCCTGCCATGTCTACTATGAGGTTATCACTTTGATTTTTTTTTTTTTTTCACTTCCCTTTAATGATCTCAGCAAGTGAAAATATGAATACTGAACATAATGCTGAGAAAGAGAACAATAGAATAAAAAAACTTATAACTCTCAGAGATGACAGCAAGATCCTCTTCAACTGATGATAAAACGGTAACGGAGGAACAACTGAGAAAAGAAATGAGGTAACCCTCTACATGCAGTAAAATGGGGGTGACTCTCTAACAGGCAGTAACAGCTGAGAGGCCGTAATGGAATTCAGTTGCAACGGCAGGTAAAATGAACCTGGTACTCTTGGACATTCCTTGGCACTAACAAGGACACAAGTTCACAAGTGCAACTGTGAAGTTACTGGAACACACTTGAAAGGTTTTGGGTATTTACAGCATACACATCGGAAGGAAGGACTCTCTCACCCAGGTATACCCCAGCCTGAGTTATATCTGCTTTCGAAAAACGAGCTGAAATCTGAAATGAAATGTAAATGTTACTCTTATCTGTCAAATAGTAATTACCTTGGCAAATTAAGATTCTACTATTAAACCTAGTGACTAAATACTCCAACTTATTTAGGTATATTGTTTATACTTATGCTATTAATGGGTAACAGTTTTCCACTGCTATTCCATTAATAGTTTAATTCTACACATTAAATGTAGTACTGCATTTGATCATGCTGATTTTTTTTCCTATAGGAGACTAAAACTGAGGAAATGTAGTTTTTTTCTGACTACTGGAATTTAGTTATTTTAATGACCCATCACGACCCGAGACACTTGGCAATCATGGGGTTAATGAGTTAAATAAAATGGTACAGACTGAATGACTGAACTGCTCCAATGCCTATAAATAAATATCTATGAGAATTTGCTTCAAATTTAGCAATACATCTCTTCAATAGTCTCCTGATAATCACTAAGAACACAAAATAAGATTCTTATTTGAAAAGCAAGATTAAGTTTTTTTTTTTAATTAAGTTTTAAATTTGAATTATGTTTTCATTCACCAATCTTGCTTGGTTATCAAAAAACATGTCTCCTTTGAACTTAAAGCATATTTTCATAGATGTAAGAAAACAAAAGATCTATTTTGTTCACTCTGACAAAAACTAAAGATTGTGGCTATTTTATTTCTGATAAAGCAGTTTAAATTTCATTAATCTTTTAAGACTTATTTTTCAATATATATAATGTAGCAAATACAAAGTAACCCACTTCTCAGAAAAAAGCTTGATGAAATGAGCAGAATGTTTGAGGTGATGAGACAAAAAACAACGCTACATTTACTGAGTGTTTAGGAGAAGATCCTGGCATGGCCAATCAAGCAGACTAGCCATGCAGAGGAGTTCTCAAAGACAGTGGCCACCATATCCTTTTACTAATTTTTCAAAAATGACTAGTACACAGATGTCATACCACAAAACAAAACCATGCTCCAACTACTTTCCTCAAGCATTACAAAACTAATTTCCTATCTTCAACACTGTAAAAATAGACTTGTTTTCTCCAAAGGCTCTTGCTGTTGACACTGATGGATCTGTGTTGTTCCCACTTAATATTGGCCCTACAGGCATAAATTATCTTTATCATTCCTCAGATCCAATCTTACATAAAGTTGCATAACGCATGGAGTAAAAGAGGAATGAAGACAAAGCAAGGAACCCTGTATAAGTGTGAGGACCCAAAAGCAATCACACCAACAGCCAGAGGGAGTGGAAACTGTGAAGTAGTCTTCAACAATTTACTGTAAAGAGACAGAAACATACATGATAATGTTAACTTACTCAGTGAACAAAAGCTGAATATAGCAATCTTTCATACAGTTTTGTAAAGTATTCTATGTGATTTTAGATAAAGTAATGTTTCACATAAAGACTTTAACAGTCCATATTTTTTTAAAAATAAATAAATTTTGGCTGGAAAAGAGAAAATTATTTTATTAAGTAAATAACCAGTTTTGCTTATTCTTTTAAATTTCAAGCACAAAAAAATACTAGTTGAACTTATATTCAGCAATTTGACTTCTTAAGAGTTTTATCTTAATAAAAAAAAAATCAATAATGTTTACTAAGATATAGCTACAGAAATATTTATTTTCAATCTATTTAATATCAGCAAAAAGCTTCAACCAAAAAAAAAAAATCTTTAATTCCTAACAGGAGCATATAAGACAAGACACTAAATATTAAAAAAATACTATCAAGAAAGACTGTCACCTTTTTACTCTGAAAACAGAGAAACTGAGGGATTAAGAAATTTACCAAAGGACACAAAGCCTTAGATTTAAACCCTAGATCTGCTTTATTTTAGAATACCTGCAACTATCTGCCAGAATCAACTGAAAACACTCTCAGAGCAAATAAGCAGTCAATGAAAGGTAAAATTTTATTATGGAAAATCTTAAATATATATATAAGTAGATTAACAGTACAATGAACCTCAAGGACCCATCCCCCGGCTTTAGAAATTATCAAGTCATGGCCAATTCTACTTCATCTATATTACTACCTACTTTCAACTCCTGTATTTTCTTGGAAGCAAACTTAAATATCAAATATTTTAAGGATTAACTTTTTAAAGAAAAAAATTATTATATACTAACAAATAAAACCCATAATTAAGAAAACATAATACATTTGCACATAAGCTGTATATTTGCATATAAACCTAACTACTATTAAGGGATCACCTTTAGTATTGTCCATGTAATTAGGAACAAAAGGTATGTTCCAGACATAAAAGAATACCAGGAATAGATGAGAGAAAAATAAAGATTAAAAGACTATACCTTGACTTTATTGAAGTAGTGTAAGTATTTCCAAGAACTGCCATGGTTGGAATAAGGAAAAATGCCAAAGGTTTGCATGGATCAGGATTAAGTTTAAAGTAATACCTAGATCAGAAAGAAAAAAAACAACAACATAAATCAACAAAGCATAGCCCATCATTTTAAATGATCAGAATCAATAAATAAATTTCAAAACTTTACAATTACAATGTGGATATAAGAAAGTTCTAAATTGCTCAAGAAATCATTGATAAATAAATTTTGCTTTACATCATCTTTATATTCAAGGTTTTAGATGGAGAATTATGTTCAGAAGCTACTAAAAGAAATGAAAATATCCAATATGGAAGCACTTCCTTTCTGTAAGTATATGCCTGAAAGGTCATACAGAGATAATATTTCATAAAACAAATTATTTAAAATATATTTAAATTGTTCTATTTAAATATGATAAAAAAAATAAAAGTTTACACAGAGTAACTGTCCCTTATTTTTTCTTTAAATTTATTGTCCCTTATTTTTTAAAATCCAAATTCTCATCTCTTGAATTGAGTGAGATACCTACAGCCTTTCAGAATCATAAATTTGTGCTCCTGGTTTTCTCCCCAAATCTCTGATCAAAAATCTGGACCTTGATTAAAGTAAGGGACTTGTTACTAAGTCACTTCAGTCGTGTCTGACTCTTTGCATCCCTATGGACCATAACTTGCCAGGCTCCTCTGTGCAAGGGATTTTCTAGGCAAGAAAACTGGATTGGGTTGCCATATCCTCCTCAGGGATCGAACCTGCATCTTTTAAGTCTCCTGCATTAGCAAACAAGTATTTTACTAACACTACCTGGGAAGCCCAAAATAAGGGACAGAGGAAGGATATTAACATCTGGTAACCAGTGATTTAATTTATTGAACTTGTTTTGATTCATCTGACTTTTTAAAAAAAACCACCTCCAATATGTAGATAATTTGAAAATTTTACATCATTTCTAAAATCTATATTAGTCAGGAGTTCACTATTAACTGAATAAGGGAGTTTTTTTTAAAAGACAATTTACTAAAAACTAAATATTCTAGAAATAACCTTAGAGGAATTTTTAGGCTTCATTTAACCTAGGACACAAATGACAGTTTTCAGTAGTGAAATACCTGATGTGTAGGACACATCAGGAAAGTACACACTTCCTTCATTATTTCTGTTATTTTAAATGTAGCTTTATCCTCCCCTCAATATAAAATTGATCATAAGTAGAAATATTAAAGCACTAAGAATACCTTAAGTCAGCAAAATAAAGCACATTTTTCACATATTTCTAGACTCAAAAAAGGTTAAAGGAAAAGTAAAAAAATAGAATTCCCCCCTACAGATTTTAGGGAAGTTTATATTCTCATGGAAAAAAAGAAAATGTGAATATGCTAAAAATAAATTTCAGGTGAAAGCTTCTTGTTCTTGAGAAAGTTTTATGAATCATTAGGAATCTTGCAAGTCTCTATTTACAGATATTTATCACTTAAACACATACATTATAACTATATAAATAAATCTTACCTAAGATTCTTTAGCCAATAAATTAAAGATGGCATGCTGAGTAATACAATCCATGTTAATAAGTTAATCAAAGTACTGTGCATGCAAAGACTATCTTCAGCATCACTGGCAGATAAACGGAGATGGTGTACTGCAGAGTCTTTATGGTGATTGGATTTTTTTTCACTTCTTCTCGAGTGTTTGGGATTCTATAAAGCAATAAAGCAAAAACATTGAGATATTAAGTAAAACTATGTACTCGATTTAGAATCATACTCAATTATCGAAGAGCTGAATAAATACAGTTTTTCATTACCAAACTGATACGAAATACGATTCTATAAAGCAATAAAGCAAAAACATTGAGATATTAAAATTATGTACTCGATTTAGAATCATACTCAATTATCGAACAGCTGAATAAATACAGTTTTTCATTACCAAACTGATACGAAATACTGAAAATCTTATTTGAAATTATTTTAAAACAGTTGTCAGTTATAAAACTTATTCCATTGACTTGCTATTTCCACTGCTAAAACTATATCCTCTTAAGTAATTACTTGAAATAAAGTTTAAGAGATAATTTTGGTAACAAAAACAACTTAAGTACTAACATCAAATTAAATGACAATCTCTGTCTTATTTTAATATTCATTAGGTTCAATTTTCTTAAAGCTATTTAAATTCATAATACCTTCTAAATATTGTAAAATTCTAACTTTTAAAAAAAAATAAACTTTTATGTTTTTCCATGTTCTATAGAGTTATGAAAATAAAACTTACCACAGTCTGGCTGTTTTTAAAAGTTGTTAGGCTGGCTTGCAGATGAACAATCTATGAAAAAGAAAAGACATTAATTTTACTTTTATTTTGAAAAAAAAAAAACAACCATTTTTATTGAAATTGAGAAGCATTATAATTTGAAATTTTAAAAATATAAATAAATAAATATCCATTTCAACATTTAAAAACATTCTTTTAGAAAAGATAAATAATAGTTACATGTGCTTGCTATCATGGATTAAAAATCAGAAACAAAATACAAAATCAGAGTATGTTGGGGCTAGTATATAATGTTAATCTTTCCACACTGTGACCCAATGCTTGAATGGTGCCTTGCTAATGCAACTTAAAGTGTCATGTAAGCCAAAAATTTGATTATATTCAGCAGAGTATAAACATCTTAACAAATGTTATATAATCTAAATCTTTGAAAATCGAAACTCAATTATATAGGATGGTAAAATGTTTACAAGAACCTGGGAAAGTCTACAAATTTATTAGGTGTGCTTAAGTATTTCTTTTTTTAAAAATTTTGAATAAATTTATTTATTTTAATTGGAGCCTAATTAGTTTACAATATTGTAATGGTTTTTGCCATACACTGATATGAATCAGCCATGGATTTACATGTGTTCCCCATCCTGAACCCCCCTTCCACCTCCCTCCTCATGCCATCCCTCTGGGTCATCCCAGTGCACCAGCCCTGAGCACCCTGTCTCATGCATCGAACCTGGACTGGCGGTCTGTTTCACACTTGATAATATACATGTTTCAATGATATTCTCTCAAATCATCCCACCCTCGCCTTCTCCCACAGAGTCCAAAAGTCTGTTCTACACATCTGTGTCTCTTTTGCTGTCTCGCCTATAGGGTTATCGTTGACATCTTTCTAAATTCCATATATATGCATTAGCATACTGTATTGGTGTTTTCCTTTCTGGCTTACGTCACTCTGTATAACAGGCTCCAGTTTCATCCATCTCATTAGAACTGATTCAAATGTATTCTTTTTAATGGCTAAGTAATATTCCATTGTGTATATGTACCACAGCTGAGAAAGTTTTTCTTACTGTGTCAGTTGTTTGAAATATTCACCTAAAAAACTAAAAATATTGTATTTAGAAATCAAATTAACTTATATTTATAAATCAAAATAATTCTGAATAGTTTTTTCTGGTGGTCATACTTTTCCTTAAAAAACTGAAAGGAACCTATAATGGCATGTATTTAGTGATAAAGTGTTAGTTGCCCAGTTGTGTCTGTCTCTTTGTGACCCCATGGACTGCAGCCCATCAGGCTCCTCTGTCCATGGGATCTTCCTGACCCAGGGATGGAACCTGGGTCACCTGCATTGAGGGCAAATTCTTTATAGTCTGAGCCACCAGGGAAGCCCATTTGTAGTAAGTGCAGATGCAAATAAGCTAGTAAAAATAAAAAGGAATAAAATTATTATCCTTTCTGATATCAACTAATTCTACATAAGGTTAATGTGGAGCTCATGCAACTATATAAACCTGAATTTTCCTGCAAAACTGTCAGTCTTTTTAGAAGCATTTTTCATTTCCTCAGTAAAATTACCAGCTTAATTATTTTTATCATAGTCTTACCATTCTTCAGCAACATTTGTAACATTCTACATGTTTCAGCATGTTTCAACAACTTGATCCCATTGACATAACGATTTATTTTGTCTATTATCCATGTTCAAAGAAAAGTTATGAACAAACTGTTTTAGGAGAATGTTTTTCTTTTTGAAAACATTATTTGCCAAAGCATCAAGTAATGTAAAACAGAGTACATCTCCTCCCCTCCCTTTGTTTTTAACAAAGAAACTCAATTCAGATTAGTAACCAGTTCTACAGTTAACTTCATATATCTGAAATAGTTAAGATGTTAAAAAAAAAAAAACTTTACACATAAGCCTGTTATATAACAGAATGTTACTGCCACAGTGATTGAAAAAAAAATTTTAACAACTATGGGTAATTCTATGCCTGCTTGATACACAACTCAGGCATTCTTGCTTTATTGATTTGACATACCTTAAACACATAGTAAAGATAAGTAAGAAGTATGGCAAAGGCTCCACAAGTTGTCCAGCTAATGAGGATCAAAACAGTTGTCAAAATGGGCAAGTCTGGTGATATTATCTTGATATCTTTAGGAAGTTCAGAGGGCCTGGAATAACAAGAATAAAGATTTTAAAAGCATAGTAACAGTTATTTAAACAGTCACAATTAAGGAGAAAACAGTATAGTGCTCTGCCAGCTTCTCCTTATTAACCTGCAAGCATTAAAGTGAAAGTGAAGACACTCAGTCGTGTCCAACTCCTTGTGACCCCATGGACTGCAGCCTATCAGGCTCTGTGGTCCATGGGATTTTCCAGGCAAGAATACTGCAGTGGGGAGCCGTTCCCTTCTCCAGGGGATCTTCCCAACCCAGGGATCGAACCCAGGTCTCCTGCACTGCAGGCAGACGCTTTACCGTCTGAACCACCAGGCAGGCCCTAATCTGCGAGCATCACTACAAGGTAAACAGTAAAGCTTTTTAAAATAAAGATGATGGTGTCACATATTTTAAAATTCTATTATATACTGTGCTAGTTTCTCTTGCATTTAGATATACTATGGATAATATCAGTACTAAAAGAGAAAAAATATTGTTAAAGATAATTATTACTTATAGGCTCTGTACCATATAATTCTGATCTTGACATGAAAAGAAATCATTTTCTGTTTTTAAAGTCTCAAGGGCACTCAGACATCTCATAATGTTAATGTCAGAAGCACTTCAGAAGAAGTAAAGGAAGAAGTATCATAAGGAGAGTTAATTAACAGAAACTACATCACTGGTTTAACCTGAAAAACCTACCAGCAACTTCAAACCATGCCTTTGGATCATAGTAAAACTCTAGGCAATGCTTGTGGAACTCCTACACATGTCATCTAATCTGGTTCTACATATCAAGATTGGAGTCTCTTGCCCTCAGGCTTGACTGAAAACCACCACTTAAATCATGCCAGAAAAAAAACACTCCCCCCTTGGAAAGATTTAAATGGTGAAATTTAAAAACACTCGGGCATTCTGTTGAACTTTTTCGATTTTTTGACCATCTTAAACACTATGGTCAAATCGGATGCAGCATGTAACTTGAGATAAAGCGTTACCTGTGACAGAGACGCAAGTCTGAGCACTGACCCCGCGCTCTGCTACTTACACACTTTCCTTAGACATTATACTTTGGTGAAAGCAAATCAATCTTAAGGTTCTCTATCAGAATATGATTGTTTCTTACTTAAGAGCAATAAGAAAGCTTTTAGTCACTCATTCTTTACCTTTTCAAAGCTAGCCACAATGAGGAAAGAAGTCTCACAGATGTAGAAGAGAGCAGGCCACCCCAGTAGGCAGTACATGTTCCAAACAGAAAAAGAAGCAAAGACACAAGGGGGAAACACATACTCTGACTAGTTAAAATGATGGCGTCTAATTCTGGTAACAGTAACATATCCCATAATTCTTTAAACCATTTATATCTGTGGATAAAAGGAAACAAACAAGAAATAAAAGCAAATGATTTAATAAAAGCAAAAAATCAACAACTCTCATTCAAGGATGTAGCATTTGAAGCGTTTGACCATTCACTAGAGTCCCCAAAGTTCCATGGTATTTAATGTGTAATTATCCTGAAAAAACAAACTTCAATTCCTTCTAAGGAACTAGTGAGTCTACTGATCTTCAAAGATCTGAGTCTTAAGTCTCAAAGCAGTTTTACTGCTCTCTATTAATCCTTGTATTGAAGTTATGTTTTTTTTTTTAAAGTTAGAAAGACAATAGCTAGTTAAAACAGAAGAAAAGACATCCAAGTAATGCTTCTTAACCCTCCCCCTCCCCCCACCAAAAATCAGAATAAACTAAGAATGCAGTGTTAAGTAGGATAAAGAGATCTAAAATATACTTTGTATGGGAAGTAATAAGTGTCTGAGGCACTGTCTTGTCAGTATCTTATAGCACTATGTGTTCATAAATCTGGGATACCCAAAGATCATGGGCTGTATACATTCTTTTGGAAATGTTAAAGTCCTGGTATATTTACAGATTAACTTTACACTGTAATAACTACTTTTCAATAAATACTTTTGAAATGGTTAAACTACTGAAGTAAACATTGAAATACTTATTTGGCCTTTGTCTAAGAGAAAAATTTCATTTATTAAAACAAGTCAATTGTCTTATTTGTATGAAAATTTATGCTCCATATTTGAGCCAAGCATAATATTGTATACATAAAACCAAATTAAAAATCATTATCACAGATAATAAAACTTACCCCAACAGAAACTTAACCATAATTACAAAAGGATCAACTTTGTATGGTTTGGCTTCTTTATCCAACATAGCAGCATATTCTAAACAATGACCTAGTGATTAAAAAAATATATATGTAGTAAAGAACTCACAGTAATTAAGTATGAGACATATTATATCCTTCATTGTTTACAAGAACACCATATTACATGTGAGAAAGCAAGAGTCTGTATTACTCTAATTTGAAATACAATCAAAACTACAATGAAGTACCACCTCATTCTGGTCAGAATGGCTCACTAAAAACTCCACAAATAGTAATTGCTAGAGAGGATGAAATGGAGAAGGAAATGACAACCCACTCCAGGATCCCTGCCTGGGAAATCTCATGGGCAAAGGAGCCCTGCAGGCTACAGTCCAGGGGGTCACAAAAGGAGTTGGACATGACTGAGTGGACTTGCACTGCAGAGAGGATGTGGAGAAAACAATATACCTTCTACACTGTTGATGGAAGTGGAAGTTGGTGCAGCCACTATAGAAAACAGTATGAGGTTCTTTAAAAACTAAAAATTGAACTACTCTATGATCCAGAATCATAGGCAGAATGTATGCAGGTCAAGAAGCAACAGTTCTAACAGGACATGGAACAACGAACTGGTTCCAAATTGGGAAAGGAGTACGNGAAGAGCTGACTCATTTGAGAAGACCCTCATGGTGGGAAAGATTGAGGGCAGGAGGAGAAGGGGACAAGGGGGACAAGGGGGACAAGGGGACAAGGAGAGGATGAGACGGTTGGATGGCATCACCGACTCAGTGCACATGAGTTTGGGTGGACTCTGGGAGTTGGTGATGGACAGGGAAGCCTGGCAGGCTGCAGTTCATGGGGTTGCAAAGAGTCGGACACGACTAAGCAACTGAACTGAACTGAAACTAAGAAGAATGAGGTGTCTCTTTTTAAAAAATTATACTCACGTATAGGAGATGTAATATTTCCAGAATAATCTTTTAATTAAAAGGTTAGATCTGACTAGATAACACTAAATGTTACTTCCTTCATCCTAGAAGATAGGCTAAATCAGGTTAAAATGAACAGTAAGTTCAGTTAGTAAGTAAAGTGAAGGAGGAGAGTGAAAAATGAACAGTAAAGGCAGACTTAAAGTGGCAAACAGTCACTGAAAGGAAAGGAATAGCTGTGAGAGGACTTGGCAATTCGGAAGTCGTGGAGGGGTTTTGGACTGCCTTTGCATGCTTCAGCTCCACTCTGTTCCCTTCTCTCTTGTCTTCTTGGATTGTTACCGCCCAAGCCCAGCGAGCCCACAAGGCTCCTGGGAAACTGTTCTAACTGCTGTACTCTGTATGTGAAAGTCGCTCCGGCGCATCCTACTCATGTGACCCCTTTGTGACCTCTGTAGCCCGCCAGGCTCCCCCATCCATGGGATTTTCCAGGCAAGAATACTGGAGCGGGTTGCCACTTCCTTCTCCAGGGGATCTTCCCGACCCAGGGATTGAACCCGGGTCTCCCACATTGCAGGTGGACTCGTTACCATCTGAACCACCAGGGAAGCCCTTTTTACTGTACTCTAGAAAGGCCTTTGTCCAATGTACAGTACAGTCTATGTTTTCTTCTCCAGATCCATTTTCTACCCTTTACTTTGCTCTGAATTCTGGGAGGCGGACTTCTATGAACTGGCTTCTATGAACTGGGTTCGGTCAATGACAAGCACTGGCAGTTAGGAGGGGAGAAGGAAACAGAGTTAGTGCATTTGTTTCCCTGCCTTCTCCCTGCTGAGACCCACACCGACAGCAGCTGCAGCATTTCTGTGCCTAACGCTCAGGTGCAGTACTGTTACTTTTTCCTACAGCTCTCAAGGTTTGCTCCCTCCTTAGTCCTGGTATCGGATGGCTTTGTTGCTAATTTGGTATTTTATCATTTGTTGTGGGTTTCCCTTTTCCTTACCCAAACCTTTGAAACAATTCCTTATATCAGTTATTCCATTCAATGTACCAGGACCTGACTGATACAGTTGATACAGTTCAGATATTATGCTGATTGCCAGCTATGTGCCTGGCCCCACGTCAGGCACTGGGAATAGAATGGAGAACAAAAGCCACGTCAACGAGCTTCTACTTCTTAAAGAGATCCCCAGAACAGATAGAATAAAATTTAGACAAAAGGGTATAAAATGGAGAAAACAAGTAAGTAATTTTCCTGGGCACCTCTTAAAACTTAAAGAGGATCTCAAACTCCTGTGAACTTGAGAGAAAAGGGTTGTGAAATCTTCAAGAAACTTATGTTGACATGTACACACTGCTTTATTTAAAATAGATAACCAACAAGGACCTACTGAATAGCACAGGGAACTCTGCTCAATATTATGTAACAATTTAATGGGAAAAGAATTTGCAAAATAGCTACATATATATGTATAACTGAACCACTTTGATGTATACCTGAAACTAACACATCATTGTTAATCAACTTTACCCCAATAAAAACAAGGAAATTGATGTGTCCTCATTAGCTACATATGGGATAAAAAAATTAGTAAAGAAGCACTAGGGAAGGAATAGAGGGAGAGAGGAATAGAAACATTCTTACCTGTTGAGAAAAGAGAGTATAACTGTCCTCCATAAGCAAGAAGGATACTAGATATGACATAAGCAGGAAGCGCTCCACCATGAAATCTAACTACCTGGAAAACAGACAAAAGTGAAATTTCTGAATGTTACTGTTAATGACATAAGTATATTTTCACATGAAATAAACCTGCTGTTCTCCACTTTATACATTTTCTGATACGACCACAAAGATATCTCCAGTAATGGGCACAAAAACTCTATGTAAAATAAATGCTAAGAATATATGGTATATCAGAAATGTTTATCTAAATTTTTATCAAATGCATAAAAGAGATAATATATAATTGAGTAGCATATGTTGCAAACTTTTTTATAAGATATGTTTATTAAGAAAATCAGGAAAGGAGTACATCAAGGCTATATATATTGTCACCTTGCTTATTTAACTTATATGCAGTGTATATCATGTGAAATGCTGGGCTGGAT